CGCAGAATGATGGCCTCTACTGTGTACAGGAAGACCACTCTCTCTTCTGTGCAGACGGAATGGCTCCTGTGCTGCTTTCCTTGCACCTTCTATTTATTTCCCCCTGTTTGCTTTTGTTCACTTCTGCCCAGCTTTGCCAGCTTTCACTTAGCTGTGGATGTGGCTGTTGCTGTGGCATGATGACCATACTGAGAAGCCTCAAAGAAATTTGTTGGCTTCTAGATATACGCTTGCTAAGCTGCTGTTGTTTGTGTGATCAATTTCGTTTGCCAAGCATTGATGTCAATCCAGTAGCTTTTCTTACCAGTACGTGCATGTAGCTTGTATTCTTCTGGGATGGCTTGCAATATTCTCAGACACACAAGGATGATCAAGGACGAAAGTAGCATGATCACGCGTTGTTCTTGAACTACACAAACGATGGACGAAACTAGCGCTATCACTCGTTATCACACGACGCTATCACTCACTGCCCCTCAACCATGGCGCGCAACACAGGGGCCAGAAGAGCTTGGTTGGGAGTGGGTGGGTGGGACTCGACAGGAGCAGGCGTGATGGCGTGGCCAGAGTGGTCCAATCTGATCTCACCAAGAATCATCGATCGCATCAGCGCCGCAGAACCCCGTACCCTCGAACCCCCAATCTCGGTTGACCTTCAGCCAGCTATGAAGGTTGACTTTTGCTCGCGATTGTGCGCACTTCATCGAACCTCACTGGCACAAAAAATGTCAGGTTCGTCAGTAGAAAACACTCACGTGTAGTGTCAATAACAAGAAAACGATAATAGTTTAACAGAACAAAAAAAAGTTGCTTCAAGGTTGTTGGGAATTAAAATAAGGAAGCTGTGTAATTTTACTGGCCTAAAGGCTTTTGTTGTTCTCATGTGCAATCTATTATGATCAGGAGATGCATTCAGATGTGAACATGTACAATGTGTGTACTATGTACGCCTGTCTCTCTTGAAGCTTCATGATGTGGTATTCCTTGTCAGCCTGCTTCCCGCGTTGTTGCTGCTGCCGCAGCGCATGGGCTGTCAGTTACTTTACCCATTCATGGTGACCCATACAAAGATCTCGGCATACCCCTGCACTCGGGGGACACCCAAAATGCAAGACACATGCTGATGCCAGCCAGAGCTTTCAAATTCTCTTTATGCTACTAACAGCTTGCGGACAGTAGCAGAAGTGGTAGCAATCCTCTGCCATCTCAGTGATCCAATCCACATAGTCGTCCCATGAACACTCCCCTGTATTGCCCGCAAACTCCTCAGTATCATCCCTTAGTGTGCACAGTGTTATCTCCTCATCAGGTGAAGTATTTCCCGGTTGCCCACCCCGACTCTGGCTTTCAGAAACGATAGGTTCGGCAGAAACAGGCTCGGCAGTGACAGGCTCTGCAGTGATAGGTTTGCCAGCGAGAGGCTCAGCAGCAACACGCCCTGTTACGATAGGCTCTGCAGTGTTATGCTCAGGTCCAGCAGCAGTAGACTCTCCTGAGACAAGCCGTGGCTTTGAACACATCAATCGAACAAAACTCCCTGTCAACCTAAACTCTCCGCCACCCTCTGCTTCACTTCCGGCCCTGCGTGGCTCGATCCCTGCTCTCGTAGCCAGCCCGAAGGCCCCAGTACCCAGCTGCCGCGCGCCTTGACTCCCCCTCTTTACAATCACGGACACCTGCATGGTGTCGGCTTCTGGGATCAGCTCCAGCACCACCCGTCCCCCCGCGTTCCGCCTGCTCATCGTTCCCAGCATCCCTTGCCATGCATATGCTGCTTCCGCCATCATTACCACTGGCGCTGCTCGAGCGACTTGCGTCGATCCTCGTTCCGACTCAGCGTCCTCCCCCCTCGCCCCGTTCTCTTGCCCCTCGCCAGCACAGCTGCACACTTCCTGCCCACCACAGCTGCTCATGTCCTGCGTACCACAGCCAGTGCTATTGCGAGGCCCGTCTTCATGCCTGGTTGTATCGCTGCCGCTTGTTGTGATCCTTTCCGCGTCCAAACTGCACTCCGTTCCCGATTCTGCGGGGGGAAGACGTCCCCCTTGTCTCGTGGAAGTAGATGGTTGGGGGGGAAGAGCCGCGGAAGCTGTTGTTGAGGGGAAAGCCGCGGAGGTTGATGGGGGGACGGCTGCGCGCAACTCCTGCTGTAGGCGCAGCAGCCGCTTCCGCCGGCGCGCTAGCGTCTCGGCTGACACGAGCGCCGCGTCGGACCACGGGCCGAACCGCACGACGATGCGCGCGACGCCGGCTTTTGCGGCGGTGGGGAGCAACGAAGCAAGGCGCGAGTCGGCAGCCGCAACGCATAAGGCCGCGGCGCCTGAAGATCGGTCGAGCGGGGATGTGATCGCGAACGGTGCGACGCAGGCGAACAGGCTAGACGAAGTACCACTGACGATAGGGCTGTTACCATCTTCGCACGATACTATGTCTGCTGCTACTAATGTCGTTGTTGGATGTATGCACACCGCGACAGCGGCACCGCTTTCGGCAGAAGGCCTGAAACACGGCAGTCCTTCCAGCAGAGCTTCAAGTCCTTTCTGAGACCGCGAATTAAGGACGGAGGGACCACAGGCGCAATCTACCGACTCGGGATCGGCTTCGGAACATTCCGACTTGGCCGGACTGCGCGATGCCGCCACGTGCGTGAAGTTGGGTTCGTCGTCCCACTTTTCGTAGTCGTTAGCCTTGAATGGTGATAGACAAACGTTAAAGGACGCGTTTTTTGTGGGATTAATGCCGCAGCTAGAGCAACGAAACATAGCGGCTCCTTCGCGGCAGTCGCGTGCGTATCCTAAGGGATAATTACCTACACTTTTATGCTTCACATTCTACACAACTAAGACAAGCCATTGAATTGCTTGTGGGTTCGAAAAGAAGATTGATGGGTTGATTGGAAAAGAAGCTTTGCTTTGTGCGTTGTTGGCCTCGCAAACGCAGCGAAGTGACGGCTTCAAGAGAGATGGATGGGTTACCGAGGACGTTCGTTGGCTGAGGAAGGAGCGAGAAAAGTAAAATATTGGGCTTGACGAAAAATGGCGAGAGCTGGGTAGGTTAGCGAGGAGGTTCGTTGGCTGAGGACAGAGCAAGGTGAATATTGGGCTTGGCGAAATCTTGGTGGGTGGTGCATTCCATTGGAGCGCTGACAGAGTCGCTGCTGGTGGCGCGGTGTGGCACCCGATGTCGCACATGCGACAAGTCTCGCGAAGCTACGCTGGCTGAATCATTTCGTGAATGTAGAGGGGGGTCCAGGGGGTGCCAATGCCAATTCCACTGCCTGTAAGACCAGAAGAGTTTGATTGGTGGGAACAAGTAGATGCGCGATTCGGCACGTCAAGATGGGTGCGACCAGAATGGCCAGATTCAATGCGGTTCGGCATAGAGTTTTTCAAAAGTTTGTGCGGTGAATTCTGGTTTAGAGGTCACAAAATGATTACTGAGCTGACATGGCAGTCACAAGGCTGACTGAGTGTTTTACGCGGTATGAAGAAAGACACTTGGCAAGTAAAAGCGAGTTCATACACAATTTGTTCTACAACAGTTTGCGAAGGTGTTTAGTCAAGCATTTTAGTATCAATTTCTTACCTAAGCTGTACATTGTCGCAAGATCTCAACAAGACAGAAAAATACGGTACCTGGGAGCTAATGCCATCTGGTGTGACGCTTCCCATGATATCTACAGTGAATATGCACAATTGCTTCATGGCTCATGAGACTGCTTTTGCCTTCACATGCACCAACAGCTCCCTTAGATCAAATCAGCTACTCAGTTCAAACAATCACAAAGCATAGTCAATCTCCCCCACTCCCCCCCCCCTCCCCCACCCTTTCATGAACAGTCCTGCTGTGTCTCCTCCCGTATAGATAGCTGCAGGCCCTCAGATATCAGCGTAAAACACGCTGATTACGCTGATTTTGTAGCTCCGATTTTCGTTTTCCCTGGAAATTCAGCATATGCTTCAATTTTGCACTGAAATTCCAGTATAACCTATTTTGCCACACTGACCATTTTGCGTGTTTCTGTACAAGTTACACTGACGAATCAGTACAGTTCAGTGAGTCACACTGAAACGGACTTGACCGCGTGTGTGGGGGGGGGGGAGGGGAGGGGGGGAGGGGAGGGATGATAGGGTACGCGACGCGTGTACAGACTGTACCTTACCGTGATTCACGAAACCCCACCCCACCCGCACACTTGAAATTGTTTCACATGCGCTGTACTTACAGCTTGTGCGTCAGGCTGACGCCGTCAGCTCTGATGGTTTTTTCACACTGCTGTTTCAGTTTAGTATGATTTTTTACACTGACAAAATCAGTATAAACATAACCACGAATGCTGATTTGGACACCTGGTTGGCAGGGGCACGCTGATCCATCAGCATACCCTCAAACCAATCTGAGGGCCTGGATAGCTGCCTCCTCTCCTCCCTGAGCGACAATTGTTTCTGAGCTAGAGAGCCTTGACCGCCCCCTACCTTCTGCCACCTCCTTCCACTACCCAGCCCCCCTCCTGCTCCCACCCCTCCTCCTACACCACTCGAGCTCCCTCCGTAGGTCGTACTCGTGTTATTCTCACTCGAAGACCTTGTGAGTATGGCCCCCCCCCACTCCCCAGACCTACACCCCCTACTCCTCCTCCCCCCACACCTCCTCCCCCCACACCTCCGCCTCCTACTCCTCCTCCCCCTCCTCCCACCCCCACCCCTCCTCCCACCCCACCGCCCACACCAACACCGGAATCAAATCCCGCCATATCAAACAACTCAAGCACCGGCTATAACGCGGTTACCATCTCGGACATGCGCGGACGCTGCTTGGCCTTGCGGGTGAGGCAGTCCCGCGCTACAGCTGCCGCCGTCTGAGCTCCCTTCACACTGTAGCGGCCTGACAAAGCCGGGTCCATGATTCGATAGAGCTTGGAGGGGGAGGCGAGGAAGGGGGCTGCCCACTCTGCCAGAGACTGCTCTACTTTGGGCCTGTATGTGACACAAGGAAAGGGTTTACAAGGCAGGAGAAAGATCCACAGATGAGACTGCAAGAGCCTGGCAGTCAAGGCAGTCCCTCGCTACAGCCGCCGCCGTCTGGGCGCCCTTCACGCTGTAGCGGCCGGAGAGGGCCGGGTCCATGATGCGGTAGATGGAGGGCGACGCGAGGAAGGGGGCTGCCCACTCTGCTAGAGACTGCTCCTCCTTGGGCCTGCGGTGGTTTCAGTAGGAAAGGGGGGTGGGGGGAGAATGGAGAGGGCCGGGTCCATGATGAGGGTAGAGCTTGGAGGGGGACGCTAAGAACGGAGCGACCAACTTTGCCAGAAAGTGCCCCTCCTTGGTCCTGCCGTGGGGTCAAGATGGGAGAAGCGAGGGGAAGGGAGTGGGGGGCAGAGAGGAAGAGGTGGAAAGGAGGGGCGGATAAGCAAGGAGAGGGTGAAGGGTGGTGCGAGAAAGTGCTACAGGTACATGCACCCCTACAGCCGTTACTAAAGCCGATGCTATCAGTGAGGAGGTGGAGCAGAGGAGGCCATCTCTTGCGAACACAGGCTTTAAGAATGAGATTAGATTCTGACCTGTCAAAACGCTTGCATGTTGATTCCCAGGGTTTGACTCGGGCGGACTGTGATTGACTCACGCATGGCACTGGCTTGGTTTGAATCAAGAGGCATTCGGCTCGGCCAATCATCAGATCCTGCACTAGTGCTGACTTGCATTGTCTCCCACACGTGTTGACCTGCGTTGACCCACCTTGACTTACTGAGTGCCAGTCGGCCAGTCATGAGCTCCTGCAGCACCACTCCAAAGCTGTACACATCACCTCGATCCATCAGATCAGATACCCCTACTGATGACCTGCATTGACTCGCATTGACTCACGTCACTCTTCTCCTCCACTTGGAGTGGTGCAGCTCTAACAGCACCACTCCAAACCTGTACACGTCACGTATTTTCTCACCGCCAGATGAGCTCTCACTTGTGCTGACAAACATTGACTCCCGTTGACCCACCTTGACTTATCCAAAGCCAGCCGGCCAGTCATCAGCTCCAGCAGAACCACTCGAAGCTCTACACGTCAGTTCAGTCACCTTGACCCTACTGTTGACCTCCATTGACCTGCACTGACTCACCTTGACTTATCAAGAGCTAGTCGGCCAGTCATCAGCTCCAGAAGCACCACCCCGAAGCTGTACACGTCACTCTTCACCGTCAGATGCCCCGTCAGCACGTACTCAGGGGCTGCATAGCCCACCGTGCCCACCACCTGGCATGGGGGAAGAGAACAGAGCGGAAGGATGGAGAGAGAATGAGGGGGGGAAGGGGTACACACGCGATTCCTCACCGTCCGATGCCCTGTCAGTACATATGCAGGGGCGGCATAGCCCACCACCTACATTGGGGGCAACGGGTGAGGGAGGGATGGGGGAAAGGGAAGGGAGAGAGTTGGGGGCGAAGAGGAAAGGAGAGAGGGAGGACATGGCGGGAGGGTCTTGAGAGGTCTCAGAGCTTGTAGTCATAGCCCACGTCTGCAAGAGAGGGAGGTATGAGAGGGAGTGATATGCAGTAGAGGTTAGAGAGGTGTGTTGTCCCCCTCGGGCCGGCTTCGGACTTGTGAGGTGACCGAAAGTAATCTCCACCTCCAAGATACACAAACCCCTCAAACAACAACATGTGTTCTCACCCGCATAGAAACGTGTGTGTTGTCCCCCTCGGACTCGCTTCGGACTTGTAAGTTGACTTAAACATCATCTCTTGTAAAGGCACCCCTTAAACCCCCCGCCCCCCCACACCCCACCCCACCCGGTGCTCACTCGAGTGAACACGGGTGTGTTGTTTCCCCTCGGGCCTGCTTTTGACTTTTGAACCGTCCCAAACATCGTCCCCCTCGGATGCCTACCCATGTGGACACATGGGTGCTGTGGCGACTTTTGAGTCGACTCTAAAACCCCCTTCGCATGCTTCACGAATAGACACGTGGGTGTTGTCCCTCTCGGGCCCGCTTCTCGCCAGCACGACATCAGAGAGCGACCGTTAAGTTGACTTAAACGTCAGGTGTTCGTGCCTGCATGCGTGGCCACGTGGCTGGTGCTTACCCGAGTGGACACGTGGGCGTTGTGTCCCCCTCAGGCCGCTCCTGTCTTGCGAGTTGACTTAAACATCAATGGGTGCTTACCCGAGTAGACACGTGGGTGTTGTCCCCTTCAGGTCCGGATTTGGACTGGTGAGTTGATTCAAACATAATTCATTGACCACCGCCCCCCTCATGTGATGTGCTTACCCGAGTAGACACGTGGGTGTTGTCCCCCTCAGGCCCGCTTCTCGCGAGCCCAAAGTCGGAGAGCTTGGCCTGCCAGTCCTTGGTTAGCAGGATGTTGGACGTCTTGAAATCACGGTAGATGATCTGATGGGGTGGGACGGGATGGGATGGGATGGGGTGGAGTGCGGTGGGATGGGGTGGGATGGGGTGGGATGGGGTAAAGCCAGGAGAGCAGGGAAGCAGGTAGCAACAAACCAAGTGGGAGAGCTTGGCGTGCCAGTCCTTGGTGAACAGGATGTTGGACGTCTTGAAATCACGGTAGATGATCTGATGGGGTGGGATGGGGTGAGATGGGATGACAGGGGTGAAATGGGGCGGGATGGAGTGGGATGGGGGACGAGGCAGAGGGAAGAGGGAGGGAAAGGTGGCGGTGCAGGTACGTACGCCAAGCCCTTTGGATCTTTGAAGTCGATTCAAAGAACATCCTTTGTGCCTGCCAACTAAAAGAGCATCGTATGTGACAACTCACAAATCACCAGAGTCGTCTCAGAACTCACTGGTTTCTCCATCTCCTCATGCTCATACGCCAGGCCCTTGGGCTATTTCGCGTTGACTGAAGAAAACATATATTGAGTCATTTTTTAATACATTCGACTCGTCTCACAACTCACTGGTTTCTCCATCTCCTCATGCAAATACGCCAGGCCCTTGGCCGCCCCGACCGCAATGCCAGGCCGAATATTTTGAGTTGCCAAAAAACACACCTCGTGAGCTGACTCAGAACTTACTGGCTTCTCCATCTCCTCGTGTAGATACGCAACGCGAATCTTGAGGCGCCTCAAAAATCTCCTCGTGCGGATACGCCAGGCGAATCTCCAAGATGGTGGTGTGGTGGGGTGGCGAATGTTTTGCGTTGACTCTTCAAGTAAATCTTCGAAATCAACCCACAACTCACCGGCTTCTCCATCTCCTCGTGCAGAAGCCAGGGCCTTTGAAGATTGAAAGTCGACTCACAGAGCAGCATATTTCTATTGACAATTATCCGACTCGTCTCACAACTCACCGGCTTCTCCATCTCCTCGTGCAGACACGCTACGCCAGGCCCTTTGAGTATTCTGCGCAGACTGAAACAAGATCAGAAATTGAAGCCACCTTATCTCAGCTGTCTCAAAGCTCTCCATCTCCTCGTGCAAATACGCCAGGCCCTTTGCCGCCCCGACAGCAATGTCAGGCCGAACATTCTGAGTTGACTAAATACGCACCTCGTGAGCTGACTCACAACTCACCGGCTTCTCCATTTCCTCGTGCGGATAGGCCAGGCCCTTTGCCGCCCCGACCGCAATGCCAATCCGCTGCTGCCACGTCAGTGGCGTTTCCTTTGCGGGCAGCCCGAAAAGTATTTGCTCGAGGGAGCCGTTGGGGAGGTAGGGGTATACGAGCATGCGGTGGTGGTGGTGCGCGCAGTAGCCCACGAGGGAGACGAGGTTGGGGTGGGCGAGATGGGCCACCACACTGACCTCCGTTAACCACTCTCGCTCGCCCTGGTGGGGAAAAGGGAGAGAGAGAGGCAGAGAGGGGACAGAGGGAGCGGGGAGGGGAGGGACGGGAGAGGTGGGCTAGCACGCCGGCCGTGAAAGATGGGTCAACACGCTGACCTCAGTCAACCACCCGCACTCGCCCTGGTGGGGAACGGGATGTCGGAAGGGTTGTGAGGGATGGATGAGGGAGGGATTAAGGGCGAGAGATGAGGGCAGTGATGGGGAGGGGGGTAATGGGGATATGGGTGTGGGAAAAGGGAATGGGGGTCGGGGAGGGAAAACGCATCAACATCTGTTATAATGCACCGCCACCTGTCATGAATCATGACCTCAAAGCCCTACCTGCTGCCCCTCCGCGTTCAGCACTTTCACAGCCACGGGAATCTTGCGCCCGCTTTTTGTGGGTAAATTCCCCTTGTACACCGAACCCGCCCTCGCCGATTCTACCCTCCTCCGCAAACCCCCCCGTCATCTGCAGCACTTGCGCGTACGTGAAGGGAATGAGGGGAGTCGGCGCTTTGCCCTTGCTGCTGCTGCCGCCACTGCTGCTGCCGGTGCTGCTGGCACTAGCAGCAGCTGAGACTGCTGCGTCTACAGCAGCAGCAGCAGCAGCAGCAGCAGAAGCAGCAGCAGCGGCGGCAGAAGCAGCACTAGCGGTAGGAGTAGCAGCACCAGCAGTTTGGGTTGGTGTTGGTTCGGTTAGAGTGCTGGTGCTGGCGCTGCTGTCCCCACTATGGAGCGATCCGTTTGGGTCATCAACTTTCCCTTTCTGCCCTTGATTGTGTCTCTGTGACTGCTGCTGCTGCTGAGACTGCTGCTGTTGCTTCTCCTCACCCCCCTCCTCTCCATGCCTCCCCAAGGACCCCACATTTCTCTCCCCTCCTCCGCCAACCCCCCTGCTCACTAGCACCCAAGGGGGCGGCGCTGGGAGAAGGCGGAAACACAGCCCGCGCGCCTCCCGCGCCCCCTGCGCCCCCGGCGCCGCCCGCGGGGCTCGCGGGTTGCGCACTGGACGCAACAGCTGCGCGCGCGGCGATCTCGCCGCTCACTGGCAGCGGAAGGGGGACCGCAGCCGCCGCCGTCCCCGCGGTCGGCGAAGCGCCGGGGACGCCGCCAGCGCCGGCAGCGGAGGGCGTAGCGGCGGGGGAGGGAGTGGCGGAACCGGCCTGCGCGGGCGCAGCGCCGGCCGCGGCGGTTCGAGGAGAAGCATTCTTGGAGGAGTTTTCCGCGGGTTGGCTGGCGCCGGGGGAATGCGCGGCGGGGGAGGCGGAAGCCGCGGAGGGGTAGGCGGAACGGGTGGAGGGGGAGATGGAGGATGCGCCGACGGGGATAGAGGACGCGGAGGAGGCGGAAGCGGCGGAGGAGGCGGAGGGGCGGAGGCGGCGAAAGAGGCGGCGGCGGAAGATGCGGGGACGGGGAGGCGCGCCAATGCGCTGGGGGTGCGCAACGGCTGCGCCGCGGACGGCTTCTTCCGCCCGCGCGGACTCTGGAAGCTTCCGCCCGCCGCCACTCCCCGCGGGCTCGGGACGTCAATGCCAGGCTGGACAGGACCTGCTGACGTGGCGTTAACCGATGACGTGGCGGCCTTCGGGGCGGGCAGCGGAGCTGCTGGGCTGGGGAGGCGATGCGCGGCGAAAGCGTTAGTAGCAGCACCCGAGGCGCCGGCTCCTCGCGGACTAGGAGTTACGACAGCAGGAGACGCGATTTGGGGAGAATTACTATTGGTATTAGCATCACTAGCACCAATAGCAGCAATGGTAGCAATAGTAGCAGCAGAGGATACTAGAATCGCCGGTCCCGCCGGGTTCGGACTTAGCACCGAGGCGGACGCCGCTTGCTGCGGCTGCTTTGTAGCGGGGGAGGCGATATCACTGTCATCATTTGATATAGTCAAGTGAACGGATTCCGTCGGTAGCAACGGCCCGCTGTCGGGACACGGAAGCGCAGTGGGGACGGCATTAGGGTTCGGTAGTAGAACGGTTGGATTCGGTAACGCGGTAACTGCTGCGGCTGGGTTCGGTACGAGGGATGGATCTGGCAATGTGGCGGTGTTGGTGGCGATCCCAGTAGGATCTGCTGCGGTGCTGGAAATCTGTCGCTTCAGCGCTCTCAGGCTCTTCGGGTCGCTCGGTGCTCTACCAATAGCAGTCGGGCTCTTCGCGTCGCTCGGCGTTTTCGAGATTGTCGGGTTCTTCTGTGGTGGGGGTGTGGAAGGATCCCGCGAACTGCCGTCGAAACAAAAACAGCCCATTTCAGGCACTCCTTTGAATACTCGAAAGACGCGGTGACAGCCTTTATTAAACTAAATCCGTCTGATAATTCGTGTGAATGTAATGTACTCGAACCGTGCGAGTTTTCCTAGGAAACTATTCACTGGCTCAAAGCGGGAGCCACGGAGGCAACCTACGATGGACGCAGGCAGACGTAGTTGCTACTACACTGCAAGTTCCGTACGAGCTACCCCGAAGCGCGATAACTTCCACCTCGCGTGGTCTTGAGATTCTAGCGACGCGTAACTATGCTGCTGCTCAAACACATGCCTGCAGGAAAAGGCTGGAGTTTCAACCACAGCTCCGCTCAGCAAGAACGCCATATCTCCAGCTTTAGAAACTCCGCCGCTTTCGAGAAACCCGAGTCTGGGTGATTGTCTCTCTGCGGGACAGTGACTTACAATTTTGAATAGAGTTCTGATCTGATCATTCTCGAGAGTGGCGTGGCGATGAAGTCACTCGCTTTGCCCAGTTGCCTACAGCAATCCACCGCCATAACTATTGGCAGCATTTGATGCTTAGCAAGAAGCACACCACCACCATCAGCGTGGACACTTGCACCGAGAGCTACACGGTAATCTGTATTGGCTGGCTGTCCTTTCTTGGAGGGAGAAAGACTGAGGTTAGTAATATGGTGATATTATTGCAGTCGAAGCCATTTATCTGACTAATAGGCTGGTTATTCGCCTGTAATGTGGCCGTGCTCTGCACCTTAATTCTTAAGTGCCGTGCTAAAATTCGGAACCTAACCGTAGGATGTGTGAGATTCCTTCGACTCGGACGCGGCACACACCCCTCGCTAAGCGAACACAAGTTTGTGTGTTCTCGCAACAAAAATCCTGGCCCCACAGCCTCCACCGCAAGTGAAGTGCTTTATTAAATACCATCCCGACTGCGGTATGAGTGGCAGACAAGAAGGCACAATTTGACTTGGCCTTGAAGATAAAATCGACGACCACCCTCTCACAAGTTGAAGTGGCCTGCATCGATAAAATAAGGTGGACAGAGGGGCAGCGCAGGGGGGTGTTGCATTTGGTGGATTTAGGGGACCCCGATCATGCTCTATACAGATCTACTCTTTACAAGAACCGAAGCTGCTAGCACAGTACGTCGTATAAGCAGATGTTCATTTTTGCAGGGGAAAAATCACATACACTTGAGTCACATGAATACAGTCCAGATTCATCTCGACGACGATTCATGACCGTACGAGCTGACACTGAAAATTCCAACTGGTTCATGGAATTCCAGCTAGCGACTTTGGTGGACGGTATGCGACGCGATCGAAACATAATTTTGCGTTCGCCACCCAATTAGCATATTCGCGTCATAGACCCTACCACATCACAGAAGGGGGTGACCTGATACGTCGCCGTGATGAACCGCCACGCCTGATGCCCGGCGTCCAGGTGACGCCGACAAGAGTTCAGAGCAATCTGCACCACCGGTGAGCAGCACCGCGAGATGACCGTGAAGGTCAGCAGCTGTACAGCGCGAAACTCCGCGCGCAGCTCGGCGTTGCTCTCCGGCGGCGTCTCCACGGTGCCGTCGGCGAAACACATCAGCCCGGCCATCTCAAGCTGGGGCTCGATGGATTCCTTCCACGTGAGCAGGTCGTGACGACCAACCAGCGGGGCGGTGACGGCGACTTTGTCCGTCGTGAACTTGAAGTATCCGTAGTTCGGTGCTATCCCGCTCGCAGTCACGTGGGTCGCCGATGCCAGCGTCACGCTGCTAGGACGTCCACCGACGTCGCCTTGCGAGGAGCCTGCAGTCGCCGACGACTGCAGTCCTCGCGCCTGAACGCCGCCGACTTCACCGTCGGCCGTCCGAAACACCCCTCTTTGCCTCGACGTGCCTCCCGCACTGTTGCCGACTTGGTCACCGCTGTCGGCGCCCGCGCTGACTCCGCCTTCGTTGTTCACCGGTCGAGGAGAGGCAGGCTGAGGAGGGTGCTCCGACGCCCACACGGCGCGGATGCCCGCCTCGACGACCGCCTAGGGGAGCGTCTCCCCATGCTCCCCAGCAAGGTGGCGTCTCCTCGCATCCTCCAGCTGTGCCTCCAGGGTATCCACTACGCCTGTATCACCTACGACGCCCACCATGGTGACAAACACAGCTGCCAACCTACGAACGAAATAGGTTAGTGCAAAAGTCGGCTAGACTGAAGGTAAGTCGCGGTGCCGTCCACGATCACCATGTTAGGGGTGATCTCTGCGTTCCTTAGTCGTTTGCTTGTGTGTTCTCTGCTTGCACAATCACGTGGAGAGTTTGCAATAGTTTTTCTAGCAAAGGTTGACAACAATGGTAAGAACAACATTGGCAACATTGACTACATCAGAGCTAGCAAGCATGCTGGTCGACCTCCAGCGCAGCACGGTCGACCGCAATCCAGCGTTGCAAAGCTCGCACCGCTCCAGCGCTGCAGAGAAGCGGCTTGCCAACGTTTCAAGTCCACGGTGTGCCAACGCTGCAGCAAGTCGGCTGCACAGCATTGCACCCGCATGACAACAGTGCACCCGCTTCGCAGGTGTGCGCAGCTGGTTGGTGCACCATGCCTTGTCACGTGCACAGTGCAGATGCCGGTCCGAGAACACGCCAGCGACTGCGCACACCAGCCACGTCGACCTCGGGATACCACTTCCGAGGTCGGCCTCGCAGAAACCTCTTGGGCGACTCTCGCGCAGTGCCCGTCGCCCGGGTAACTGAGTCGACCGGGCAACCAGGTGGACGCCACCAGGTCGGCGTCCTCCCAGGTCGGCGTCATGGCGCCCAGATCGGCGTCCAGACACCCTGATCGGCGTCCACGCGCCCAGGACGCCTTCCAGACGCCCAGATCGGCCTCCAGGCGCCCAGGACGCCGTCCAGACGTCCTGGTCGGCGTCCAGGCGCCCGGGACGCCGTCCAGACGCCCAGGACGGCGTCCAGGCGCCCCGGACGCCGTCCAGACGCCCAGGTCGGCGTCCAGGCGCCCGGGACGCCGTCCAGACGCCGAGGACGGCGTCCAGGCGCCCAGGACGCCGTCCAGACGCCCAGGTCGGCGTCCAGGCGCCCAGGACGCCGTCCAGACGCCGATGACGGCGTCTAGACGCCCAGGACGCCGTCCAGACGCCCATGACGGCGTCCTCTTGCTCGGCGCCCTCCAGCTCGGCGCCCTCACTGTAACTGATCGGCTGCGCTCCCCGCACACCCGACTGCGAAGTCGGCTCCGCCCAAGCGAGGACGGGGCCAACCACAACCCCCGTGGACACGAAACCCGTCTCCCGTGCACCATACCGCCTTAATCCGACCAAACTGACAAACTTGAAGAAGCAGATATAATATCTACTGGTCATAAATTTGATCCGCCACCGGTTCTCTTCACTCCAAAGCCGGACGGTAGTTTACGGATGTGCATCGACTTCCGGGCACTGAACAAACAGACAGTCAATAAAAAATACCCCATACCGAGCATAGACGATCATCTAGACCAACTGCGTGGTGCAAATCATTTTTGAAGCTGGACCTACGGTCGGGTTACTGGCAGATCAAGACGGCAGACAACACCGTCCACAAGACGGCATTCCGTACCAGATACGGCTCCTACGAATACTTAGTGCTGCCGTTCGGACTTTGCAGCGCACCAACGACGTTCCAGGCGGAGATGAATCACATCCTACGGCCCTCCTGGATGAGTCGTAGTAGTGTACTTGGACGACATTCTCATCTATTCCAAGAATATGAAGGAGCACATGGAGCATCTGCGGAAAGTCTTCGAGATCAAGGGGGAAAACAAGTTCTACGTGAAAAAGGTGCAGTTTCTTGGGCACATGGTGAGTGCGGAGGGCGTACACGTAGACCTGCGGAAGATCGAAGCCGTCAAGAGGTGGAAAGTTCCTGAGAACGTGACGGAGTTGCATCGGTTCCTAGGCTTTGCCAACTACTACAACAGGTTCGTGCCACAGTACGCTAAGATAGCAGCGCCACTGACGAACTTACTGAAAAAGGATACGCCCTATAAATGGGATACTCCTCAACAGCAAGCCATGGAGCAGCTACAGACAGCACTGAATATAGCGCCAGTACTCATCCTACCAGATCCAGACAGAGATTTCTTGGTGGAAGCATATGCTAGTGACCAGGCAGTCGGAGCAGTACTGATGCAGGATCACGGACGCGGCTTGCAGCCCATCACCTACCTCAGTAACAAGCTACACGGAGCAAAAATGAATTACCCAATCCATGACAAGGAAGCCTTAGCGATAGTTAGAGTCTTCAAGGCATGGAGACGTTACCTGGAGGGAGTCAAGACCACGGTCTACACCGACGATTGCAGTCTCAAATAACTCAAGTCGCAGCCTACACTCTCACGACGACATGTGCGGTGGATGGACTTCCTGGAAAGACACTTCCACTACGACATCGTATACAAGCCATGACTACACAACAAGGCCGACGCACTGAGCCGCCCATGACACGTAGCAGGCATCCAGCTCAACGGGATGAACCCTCTGCTCAAGGGTCTATTCCAACATGGGTACTCCGTGGACGCAAAGATCGCTACAGAACAGAAAAAGAAACTGTTACAGTGGGAGAAAGTCTTAGCGGTAAGGAAAGGTTCAGGAAAGTTTTGGGTAACGAACTATGCCCCACACCGACATATCTTAATGGAGGAGTTTCACGACGTAGCATACGCGGGACATTTCAGGAGTAACAAGACGTTAGCAGGGATAGCTAATTATTAGTACTGGCCCTGGATGGCAGCAGACATGCAGCAGTTTGTCACCTCATGCGACACGTGCCAGCGGATGAAGAGTAGCAAGCAAAAAAAAGCAGGGTTACTTTAGCCTCTACCCGTACAGGAGCAGCCATTACAGGTTGTTAGCCTTGACTTCATTACTGGGCTACCTTTGACCTCCCGAGGGCATGATGCTATACTCGTGGTGATCGATAAGTTCTCTAAAATGGGACATTTCATCCCGACCAACGCCACGGCTACTGC